TTAAATTTTGAAATAAATAATAATACAGCCTGTCTAAATTTTAAAATATTCGAGTCAAGAAACTAGAGTATATTTTTCTAAAGCACCTTTGGTTAAACTTTTTTGATTTTCCTAATTTATTAAAAAAATTTATTTGTAAAATTGATTGGAATAACTGTTGCATAAAATTGTATCAATCTTAAGATTATATTCCAGTTACAATAATTAATTTGTCGCTGAAATATTATAGCAGTGTTGGAATGCCTATGAAAATTTACTAAACAGGGACTTTAGAATAAACTAGGATTATGATTCTTCCCAATTTTTTAAAGAAATAATGTTTATTTTAAAAAATCAGTTCGGGTCATAATTTTTTTTCAAATTAAACTAAATGATTTTATTTATAATAAAAAACCGTTTTCTCTGAATTTGAAAAATATCAACCGATTTTTTTCAAATGTCAACCTTTTCTACTTCTGTTGTTGATTATTTAAAAATGTCTAAATATGTGAAGGTGTATTTAAAAAATTAACAACTTTCAGAAAAAAAAAATATTTTAGTACTCTAAGATCCACAAAAAGTACCCTCTGAAATGTTTTTTGATACTGAAACAAAATCTCATTTTCCATCCCTGGTACCCACCCTTACATCTATGATATCAGAGACCTACTTCACTCCAGTCACATGGGAATTGATGGCAACGAACAAGTAGATAAAATCGCATTATTTCACCCTTACAATGACAATACAAATGTTATTTTTTACATGGACTTAAGGGCATCTGATCGTTTGTCTGCTAATTGGCAAACTCGATGGGACAATCCTGATCATGGTCGCCATTTGTACAATATTGCCCCACTAGTCTCTCGTCACAAAATCTCATTAATCAATAGACTGAAAATTAGCCACACATGTAAAGATCACGTTTATAAAATCAATATCACAAATGATAATATATGTACCTGTGGAAGCGTACAGACAACAAATCACTTGTTGTTACACTGCCTTGAGGGTGAAGCCTCATCGCGTCAAGGCCTTGTCAGTTATTTAAATAACCTTAACATTCCTAACTTTAATATTAAGAATTTATTGAAACTCAATGATCAAAATCAAATCAAAATTTTCTCATTACTATATAAGTTTTTTAAATTATCAAATTTTGCGGACATACAACATTGTACTTATTTTGTGAAACGTCTTTGTTTGTGGAATTAAATTGTGGTGGTAAACCAGTCTTAGTGGGTGTGATATATCTGCCTCGTGGGACTAAAGAGCATATGTTGACGTTTGAGAGGTTGATTAGTGATTTATTAGTAAGATACCAGAATGTTGTTATGATGGGAGATTTCCATAATAATTTATTTGATATTAACAAATCTATTTGTCCGAAATATTGCGGACATACAACATTGTACTTATTTTGTGAAACGTCTTTGTTTGTGGAATTAAATTGTGGTGGTAAACCAGTCTTAGTGGGTGTGATATATCTGCCTCGTGGGACTAAAGAGCATATGTTGACGTTTAAGAGGTTGATTAGTGATTTATTAGTAAGATACCAGAATGTTGTTATGATGGGAGATTTCCATAATAATTTATTTGATATTAACAAATCTATTTGTCCGAAATATTTGTAAAAGATTAAATATATTTTGCTTTCATAATTCTGTTCCAACCCATTTTGATTTAAAAACTCGAACAACTTCACTAATAGATTATTTTTTTGTATCCCACTTAGATAGGATTGATAAATATTGGCAATTATTATGTCCTGGCGTGTCTTACCATTCGCTCATATATGTATCTTTAAATTTCCCTATTGAAGAAAAGGAGGAATTTTTTCGATACTATGATTACAAGGCTGTTAATATTTCATTATTAGAATCAATTGCTTTATCTTCCGATTTTTCTAGAATGTATGCAACTTCGGATGTAAATGACCAAATCCTCATTTTGAACAGAAATTTGGATAATGCTCATTCTGTTGTACCTTTTGAGACTCGTAGAGTGAGGAATGTTGATGATTCATGGATCCGTTGTAATGAAATAAGTGAGCAAATTCTAAAATGAAATTTGGCGTATAGAGCTTTTCGAAATAATAGAACAGATGAGAACTGGATTTTTTATTGTAAAGTACGTAATAGAATCAAGGATTGAATAGCAAACAGTTATGGGATGTATTGCTTGATGGTGTGTGGCTAAGGAAAACTCGTACTCTGATGATGTTAATGTTGACAAAATGAATCACAATTTTGCGGCTAATCAGTCGAATGATATGACTATAGATTTTAGTAAATTGCGATTTAATAATAGTGGTTTTTCCTTTAAAGGCGAGCTTATTGAACATTTTTATGCAATTAAATCGAATGCTACTGGTAGTGATGGATATTGCTTAAAGTTTTTAAAGCTAGTATTTCCTTATTATGTTAACCACTTATTGCATTTGGTAAACACTATTCTAACCACCTCGAGTTTTCCTAATCGCACGTATCGTTCCTATACGTAAACATGGTGATTCCAATGATATTGATAATTTAATAATATAATTGCGGTACTGCCGATATTGTCTAAGGTTCTTTATTAAGTAACTCACAATATGGTTTTAGAAGTGGAAGAGAAGAGTACATCATCCTTACTTGTTGCCCTAACTGACACTCTAAGAACTAATTTAGGTTATGATAATGTTTGTATACTTATATCTCTTGATTTAACAAAAGCATTTGATAAATTAAGTCAAAATCTGCAGCCTTTTTAATAGGTTCATATCTTTCGGGTCGTGGAAATTTGTCTCTTCTATTACTCCCGTTAAAAGTGGTGTTCCACAGGGATCGGTAATTGGACCCTTATTGTTCACGATGTTCCTTAATGACTTATTTCGACATTTAAATATTGGCAAATGCTTTGCATATGCTGACGATATTCAGGTCGTTTTTTGTGGTAAACAACCGAAGGTTGCGGTTTTTCAATCCATTGTGGATTACGGAGTACAGTGTATCTCCGAATGGATGTCTAACAATATGTTCACTATGAATGTTCTTAAGACTAAAGCCATGCCATTTTCACCTACGCGGAATGTTATACAAGGTATAACATTAACAATGAATAATGTTGCAGTTGAGTTTGTTGATGAAATTAAAATTTTAGGTGTAATAATTAACAATCGATTGAATTTTGAACGGCAAATCTCATACCTCATATGTACTGTCAACTTTTCGCTAAAAAGATTGTATAGGGTTAACTTATATCTGCCATTACATGTTAGAATTGTTCATAGCATGTTAATTCCATTATTTTTATAATGGTTAATGGTTCATATCATCTTTATAAGAGTAAAATTATACAATATAGTATTTCACATGAAATTTATTAATTCGGATTTTTTTTGGGAATTCTAAATGATTATAACCATACTTTGTGATTATAACTATATGCTACATTGAATTATTTTTGTATATTTTTTATTCATTTTTTATTGATGTTAGAATTAACATTTATATAACTAGTAATAGTGTGGATTACTGTAATTTATTAATTGGCCAATAAGGATTACAAATTAAATAAATAAAATAAAAAAATGTAAGTAGGTATAAATTTAAGTATGGATAACATGCTCCTAAGTTTTGTGACTTTGAAAAACAAAATCAAATTGGCAGATATAAAATTTTAAAGCAATTTGGAATTTTTTCCAAATTACTTTGAATTTTTGTAAAATAATGTAAAAGAATTCATGTTAAGCATTCATAACTTTTATAGTTATAGATATAAATAGTAGTAGTTGAAGGGATTGTGTATAGATGCAGAAGTTGATGATTGCTTATTTGGAATTTTGATAATAAAAAATATGCATATTTTTAAATGGTTATTATTCAATTTTATTGATTTTGAGGTAGTTGGGATATAATATTTTAAGGACGACAGAGTTGCATTTTATAAGGTAGGGTACTATAGTTGAAACAAAATTTGACCACTTGTTCACTTTTGGACTTATTTTTCAATTGCTGTGTTTTTTTTTTTTTTGCTATTGAATGTTATTTTCTATTTATTTGCATTTTTTGTAATTTTATTTTTTACTTGTCTCCAACCAATGAAAACAAACAGCTGATTATGATAAATACCCGATACAAATTAGAGATGACACTTATTCATTCGTAATTCGAACGTAATTCAAACTGAATTATGTACAACTTGTGTAATTCGCAGCTGAAATTTTGTATGGCGAATGATGTCATTCGGTACGTAATTGGGGGTTGAATGATGAATGAGAGCGTGAATTACGAATAATTGCACCGTGTGAACGGGGTAGAACAAACATATATTTGAATTACGTGTCTTAAGGTGGAAGTACACAACACGCGTTGAGACGGCAACGCGTTTTACGCTTTTTAAACTTTTCGCGCTTTACAAGCTGCAAGTTACACACCACGCGTCATTTTGATCTTTCTTTTAATGTTTTTTAAGACATTACTGTTTTAAAAATCAAAATTTTAAGTTTTTTTTTAATATCTTTCTTTCATTGTTGATGAAATTTATTACATTTTATTTTATTCTTATTCTACACAAAATAAAATACTACTCTGATCAGCTGCCGACGCGTCAAAAGTTGAAAGTTGCTGAACTTTCCGCTGCAGACGCGTTAACTACAGTGTGTATCTTGTTAAATGAAAATACACAATTTCAACTTTTTTTGACAGAAGCCTATAACGCTCTGACGCGTACAACGCGTGTTGTGTACTTTCACATTTAACCCTGTTTTAAACAAAATGCATTACTGAATTGATTTTTTAGTCTTAGATTTTATACTGATTTTGTTATTATGTACATTTGTAACAATAACTACATATGTATGTACGTTTTTAACTACATATGTATTTCGGTTTTTTCCTACAAGATAGTCGATTACCGACTTTCAACAAAAAGTCGATTGTTCGATTATTCGAAACTCGATATATAGAACCCTAATCAGAAGAGGAAAGTTCTTTGTGTGATTTTTTCTTATTACCCATTCGTATTTTTTTGTTTTCTCCATTTCACTTTATTTTCAGCTGTAACAGACAAGTGACGTGTTTTGCTTTGTTTACAGAAAAAACAAAATTTACTTTGAGAATTTTTCAATTAATTTTAATACTATTTTTTTGGAAATTTGATAAAAATAATGATAATTGGTGCTAATTAATACAAGAGTTAAAAGAATCAAGTGCTAAATTATGAAGGTCATTGAGTTGGACGACGTGGAGATAAATTATCAAAGACATTGTCAATAGTTTCTATATTTATTATCATTGCAAGAGAAAAAAATAAATTTGTAAAACTAGAAACGTGTTTGGGAGAAACGAATAAACTACAACAACAACGCTAACCAAGGCAAATAAGGTAAAGAAATAATGTCAAAATGACAGCCCCCATTCGATTTGTTCATAGACTATCAGCTGGTCGATTTTTATACGTTTTAAGAAAAATTACAAAAAAAAAAAAAAATATAAGAGTCGACAAGAAGCCAATATTAATTAATTAAATCTAGCTTTGTATAAAAAAAATTGTTTAAGGCACTTCTTTTAGAAATTTCAAAGAAGTTGTTTTCTCTATTATTTTGGGCGATTCTTCTTTGTTTCAAATATTGTGCGTGTGTGTTTGTGTGCATTTGGTTAATCAATTGTTATGAAAACATTAAATCTAGCAATTATTTTCATGCTGAATTTGTTAAATAATTTTAAAATATTTAATAATAAATTTATACAGCAAACATTCAAATATTTTAGAGGCTTAATTAATCGAATCAAAATGGATCAGGACGAAGGTCATATGCAAGGGGAGGAGCAACTAGAACAAGAGAATTTACTGGAACATAATGCTGGAATAGTACCTCAACAGCATCAGTATGAACCATTACAAAACCTAGCATTAGAGGAAATAGGTGCGAACGTGGAATATGTTGGAATGGATATCGTTGATGACAGTTCAAATGAGAGTGACGATGAGGACGGCAATAATGTTGCTGACGATGATGACGACGACGACGATGATGATGAGGAAGATGATATTAGTAATTATGATGAATTAGAAGAAATAATGGATCAAGAAAGTTGTTCATCGGATGATTATGACATATCAGATATGGATCCAGAGTATACTGTCCGCAATTTTAGGCGTATGCATAAAATGTTTATGAAACGACAACAAGAACTGAAAAAACCTGCATATTCTTTTCAACCATTACGACTTACACAATGCCTTTATAAAAGTCGGCACGATTCATGGGCGTATCCGATAGCACGCAGTGGACATCGTATAATTGCTTCTGAATCTCATCTTTATTCGTTGGGCGGTTATAATCCAAAGACAAGAACAAATGCCATGCGTCGCGGTGCATGCATGTTATTTCAAGAATTGTGGGCTTATAACTTTGCTACAAACCGTTGGAAGCTTCTACAAAATGGCGATAATTGTGATATGCCAAGAGAACTGGCTTCAAATGCTCTTGCCATCTATAATAATGTTTTGATTGTAAGTACAATTTTAATTATACATATTTTAATAGGTTACTAATATTATGGTGAATAAAATACGAACATTTCTCGAGTTTTTGTTAAAAAACTCAGGACACTAATAAAAAAAAATATATACTGTAAATTTTGTCCTGGTCAGTTAATAATTAGCATTGAAACAAATTGAACCATCGAAATAAAATAAATATTGTGATTAAAAACCCAAACTAAAAATTAAATTTTAAGCATTGTAAAGATATGAAATTGCCAAAAAGTTTACCTATAAGTAAATAAACTTAACTGAGAATAATAAGTTAATTAAGAGAATATCGGATCAGGTCGGAAATGTAATGAGGAAGATTCCATAATTGGGTCTAAAATAAAGTCTGAAGTAATTGATTGTTTTGCAATATAAAATAAGGAAATATAATTTACACAAAAGACTTGAGATTGAGAGTTCAGAAATAGAAGAAAAAAAGAAAACAGCTTTATATACCTACTCTAGAAACTCAATAGAAGGTCACTATATTCAGGTTAGAAAAATTAGGGTCGTAATAAGGAGATATTGCACTTTAAAGCTTGCTAATTGTTTATTTGTTGAAACTTAAATCTAACCATAATGGCCGTAAAAATAAACACTTAAAAAGAAACTGAAAACCAAAAATTTATTTTTAACTTTTTTTATTAAGTTTTTTTTTGTTTTATACAAATTTTAGAATTAAGTTTCGAAAAATGAACAACAATTTTAGTAATTTCAAAATAGTTTTTCTTTAAGATATCAAAAATGGCTTCAAAGACAATGCAAATTTCAAATCTCCTTATTTTGAGGCCTAAAATTAAGTTTACGTGTATCGGCGTTTTCCTGTGTCATTTCAAAAGTTGAAATTTTACTTCAGTGCAATTAAAAGTACTGCTTAAAATAGTTTAACTTCGTTGTAAATAAGGAACTTTAATTAATGTTTTTAAAATGTAGTTTTTCTAAATGATTTTGTACGTTCTAAGTGACTACTAGTTATTTTTAAAGTTGAGAAATATAATCTCGAAACCGAATTCATAAGAGCTTAGTTCAGTTGTCAATGACGTCCATGGCATCCAAAATAAGGCCTGTCCGTTACCTGAAATGCAAAAAGGGGTAACAACCAAAAAATGTAAAATCGACTTTTTCATTGGAAATGTTTCACTGCATCAAAATACATGTTATTGCAAATTTTTAGAACCCTATTGTCAAAAATACCGACTTTTTTGAAATGAAATGCAAAAGGGCGTAACAACAAACCAGACCTGGGATAAATGCATTAAATGTGTTAATGCATTAACAATTTTTTCTACATTAAAAAAAATTAATGTTAAAAATAAACTTGCATTAACATTAACATGGGTACATTTAATGCATTAAATTTGCATTAACATTAAATATTTTTAAATTTAATGCATTAATTTTACATTAACATTAAATATTTCTGAAATTAATGCATTAATTTTGCATTAACATTAAATATTTTTGAATTTAATGCATTAATTTTCCATTAACATTAAATAATAAATAATAAAATTAATGCATTAATTTTCCATTAACATTAATGTATAAAATAATTTATAAAAATAAGAATACAGCGCTAAAGACCTCGGTCTAACTAAATTCAAGTAAAATTGAATGTGTTAAAGTCCTTTCTAATAAGTCCTATACTCGATAATACATATTAGAAGAATAGTGTCACTTCCCAAATATTCCATTTTTAGTTTATTTTGTTAAAGTGCTTTCTAATAAGTCCTATACTCGATAATACATATTAGAAGAATAATATCACTTCCCAGATATTCCTTTTTTAGTATATTTTGTCTGTGGAATCTTATATAAATATCATATTTAAAACACACAAGTTTGAATGGAATATAGGAGTTATTAGAAAGGACTTTAACCTATTAAATTTAGTTGTTTAGTTAGATCGAGGTCTTTTGAGCTGTATTTTTATTTATGTTTATCAATTTTTATATATGTATATTAATGTTAATGGAATATTAATGCATTAATTTTATTGCTTATTTAATGTTAATGTAAAATTAATGCACTAAATTCAGATATATTTAATGTTAATGCAAAATTAATGCATTAATTTCAATTTCAGGTCTTTTGAGCTGTATCGAGGTCTTTTGAGCTGTATTTTTATTTATGTTTATCAATTTTTATATATGTATATTAATGTTAATGGAATATTAATGCATTAATTTTATTGCTTATTTAATGTTAATGTAAAATTAATGCACTAAATTCAGATATATTTAATGTTAATGCAAAATTAATGCATTAATTTCAAAAATATTTAATGTTAATGTAAAATTAATGCATTAAATTCAAAAATATTTAATGTTAATGGAAATGGGTAGAACCACAAAGATTCTATGGGGTGACCCTGATGAGAGCAAGACAAGAAATCTTCTCAAAATGAGCAAAATGAGGTTTGTATGATGGTACGTATTCTCAGTGGACACACAGGATTACGAGCACATCTATACAAAATTGGACGTGCGAATTCAGACGAATGTAGAGCATGTGGAGAGGACAGTGAAACTCTGGAGCACTTTCTTTGCCATTGTCAGGCATTCGTCGAAGTTAGATCCAAGTATCTTGGAAGTGATGTTATTCCGGAAATAACATTCTTAACCAACACCGATTGGAAGATTCTTAGGAATTACGTCCAGGAAACTGAGTTTCTGAACATGGAAAAATAATACATTCAGTGAACAATTTCTTTTTTTTTTTTTTTTTGAATTGGAGCGCACAACAGGCCCGATAGTGGCCTAGGTGTATTTCTTCGGATTTGATGTAGTATACATCCTCCTATCAACCTAACCTAACCTAATGGAAATTTAATGCATTAAATTTTAAAAATTTAATGTTAATGCAATATTTTTTACATTAAATTAAATTTTTTTTAATTTAATGTTAATGCAAAATTAATGGAAATCGATGTTGGGATACAATACTTGTAAGAAAATGTCGTTTTTATAACAAAAGTAGTTTTCATTTTATATAGTTTTTTGTCTATATGAATCTGCTGACTTTTGTAATGATCCGGCTTTATTTGAAATTCGGCATAACTTTTGTATAAACTTTAATGGCTCAATCAAATTTTATTTGAATCGGTCCTATAGGGTATGGTCAAACACCAGAAAATAAGTATTTCGTCAATAAAGTGCTTAAATTCATTTGAATTAAATACATTAAAATTTAACTTAAGTGCTTCATTCAAAAATAAGACATATTTTCATTATAATCATAACTGGTGGAGGATATCGAAGGGTCGGCCATGCCATACTATACTTTCTTATTTCTTTATTTGATATTCGAAGAAAAATGTACAAATTTTAATTACAAAAGTTTTGTATTCGCAAAATTTCTTTCATGTAATAAAACTTTCTAAAAACGATTTTGTTCCAAATGATTAAAAATACCAAGGCAAGGTGATTTGACTAAATTGAGCTAAAAAAGTGCAATAATCCTTGAGCAATGTGACACAAAGACCATGAATTTCATTCCATTTATCAAAAAAGGCTTAATTTAGCGAAGCTGATATTCGAAATACCCCAGAGTTTAAAACCCCTGCGCCCGATAAAGGCCGGGTATTCAGGGTATTTTCTGAAAGGAATCCAAAATGCAACACACACCAAATTTAGGAGCAATTCTTAAATTCTAAACAAATTTTCTAATACATGTGAACTTATTTCTATTTCTATTTATATGTATATGATATATTTTTTATGTATACCTATTACAAATTTGTAACTGATTATAGGTTTATTTTGATGTTGTGCTAATAAGTCAAAATTCTAAGATAAATGATTTAAAAAGAATTAAATACGTATTTTCTGCTAATTTATGTACGAATAATAAACAAAATATACTTATTAGTATAAATCAGATTGAATTTTTTGTTGCTATGGAAAATGAAAACAAAATAATTCAAAAAAACAGCTAACGATTTGCAAAAATAATCATTACCGAAATATTGGAAATTGTATTCTCTACAAATGTTGTAAAACCACCTAAAGTCTTACGACGAACAATAATCAAGATATATGCAAATATTTCATATTTTTGATCTTTGACTTCCAATATCTCATTAAGTCCCCGACTTTTAGTTCTTTATTTTGATTGTCCAGATGGTGCTCTATACCAGTTTTTACTTTACAGTCGTAAATTCTTCATTTTGCTCAATTTGTCCTCTAATTTGGGTAATTCCAAAAAGTTGAGTTTTGTTGATTTGCATTAAATATTCATTTATTTTTTAAAATAAATATTAAATACATTAGTAAACGAGTCCACGAAGATACATATTTTCCTAAAGCAACGCGATATGAGAAAAATACACCAAAATTGTTCGATTTTAGTGGGTTCAAACTTTATATTGGTATAACTAATATTAAAAATTTTGGAAGAATGTTTTTTTTTAGAATACACGCAACTCGTTTACAAACGGTTGATGTTCCAGAAATAAAGTGTCAATTTACGAAATCAAAAGAATCCGATTTATAAATTTATTTAATATTCTTTACAAAAACACCATTGATTTTATTTGTTCATATATTTCATAACAAATTTAAGTTTTTTTCAACAAAGTTTAAATAAACATTTTTTTATGATTTTAACGCATAACTTTAAAGTTCGTTATAAAAAAGGAAAATTGTATGAAATTATACAAGAGGGACTTTGAAGTGTGTTGGCGGAGTATTAAACTCACGAACTGCCAGGTTATCCCACAAAAATAGGAGAGGTACATTAGGACAAAAATCTTACTTTCTCACGAGAAAGCTCCACATATTCAGAATTCCAATCCTCATATAAACAAATATTCATCATCATTGGAGACATCAATAATATCACAACCAGAATCATTTTCAGCCAGAGAGGCATCAGTAGCATATACAAACATATATTAAAATAGTCTAGCTTATAATAAATGTCCAATTAAGTCCGGCAGTTCTTGACCGATAGAGCTAAAAATTTGTGTCTGGCCTACT